AGACCCCCACTATTGGAAGAACCCTGCGCTCAGACGCTCTCGGGAAAAAATCAGATCTTTGCTCAACAGTCAATCAACAACCATTAGAGAAAAAGAAAGAAACAACCAGATCCATGAAAGATCACCCAACCCAAAGAACAATGTGTGGGGGTCCAGTTATCAAGAAATGCCGGACTTCACCAATGGCAAATGGCGGACCCAACAGAGCTTGGAGCCTTGGAGCTTCCATCATGTTTTTTGGTAGGTTTCATATTCAAAAACGGCTTTCTGTGGGTCCAAAACACCATTGAGACCCCAATTCTTGACTCCACACCCAAGTCAACTGGCTATCACAAAATTGATGTATCACTTCATACATAATCTACATCCGAAGATCAGGACCATCATCCAGTCACTGCACAGGGCCAGGGCCCCTGCCACCACACGCTCACCAATGGGCGCGCCCTCAGGGGCCTTCAATGATGAATGTAGCTAGCCATGAAATGATATAAAGCTGAGAGATAACAGGGGTATATATGCAAGTAAACTGGGAGATTGACTAAGTCAAGTGTGCAGATTGGCTAAACAGTCAACCTTGGATAAATTCCTTCCTTCTCCACAAAAAAAGACACAAAGTCTTAGTCTATTAGTGGTGGTCACAGAAACGTTAAGGATACTCAACAGGATTGTTCTTGTAAGGGGCTAAAACCCGAGACCGTAAGCAGTCCCCCGTTGACTTAACAGGAATGGGTGCTGATAGACACATGATATATCATAATATCATGGATAAATATCATATAATTTATCATCCCCAGAGGTTTATGGCACGGTTGCCCACATTACCAGCTGAGTGGTTGGGAGTCACGATCCCGCCATTGAGCAAATCCTGATCCGAAACCGCATTTCTGGGTACATCGTGCTCAATGGCAGGTTGATTGGTTGTTTTCTTCTGCCGAAATGGGGGGAAGGGATGATTTTGCTGTAACAGATTTTAGCAATTTTGACCCTGGCCTCCACCAAGTTCAACGCACTTAACTCCTCTTCCTCTCCGTCTCTCTTTGAGGCCTGGCGCCAAAATACCCTCTGGTAGATCTGGTGGTCTAACTTGGCTCTCTAGACTCTAGAAGTCGCCAAGTGGCACTCGTTTACATATGTTTTTTCTCCGATGGAAAACGGGACCAGGGTGTGATTACCAAATGACCCCGCAAATTTTAGCTCCAAAAATTCGGATGAAAACAAGGATCAAATTAAATGTGGGACCCAAATTCAACCTGCTTCTATGCGGCATGGATTTCCTGCGATGCACACTTCAAAAAAGCTTTGTTGAAACCACCCGATGAGCTTCAAAATCGAAGGCCAGGCTGACACAGAGCAGCATACCCTCCGAAGCCTCAGACCATTTGGAAAACCGTTCGGGCAGCTTACAGTAAGGGAAAAGGTTAAGAGGAATCCATTCGTTCTGTCATCAAAAATTCTCATCATATTCTTATGACATTGCTTTTGTGTAGCCAGTAGCCATTATTTTTCCCATTATGTCCCTTATGAATCATCATCCACTATATCATTCTGATGTGGAGACCTGTCCATTCTCCCCCATCCAATCTAAGGAACCATTGGAAAGTTGCTTTTCATTGATAGGAAAGGAAAATTGGTTTTGGGGTCCCCAGACACACTATTCATTTTAGCTTCGTTGTAGCCTTGGGGTGCCCAATTTTGAGCCAGCCAAATGCCACAATGCCAAGTCGGAGTCAAGCCGTGCATTGGTATATAAGGGGGTTTGACTCCTGATATGCAGTGAACCTTTCACCCAGAAGGTTTCATGCACTTGACTTGAACCATCATGTCATCGCAAAATGACAGGTCGACATCACGGGCTCAACCAGTCTTGAACATGTTCAAAAGCAAGATCCAAGCCATGAGTTTGAGATATGTACAACACCTTTGGGTGCTCAAAAATTATGAGGAATGCGGAATCACCAAGAAACATCCAGAAAAAAGTTTCGAAGATTAAAATCTGCCCGCACCGAAGGTGCCGAGGCGTTTTTTGTGTGCCTGCGTGAACCGTTAGCAATTGCATTATAGCTAATAAGCTTTAGCTTGGGGGGCTTTGATTGTTTTTGCATGTTTTTCAAAAGGGGTCAAAATTCTTGATCTGGGCCAATATAGGCCAAAAATGGGTCAAGATAGGCCCAACATAGGCCCAACATGAGCCTAAGATAGGCTCACATGGGGCCAACATAGCCTCAAATGGGGCCAACATACCCTCATACGGGGCCAAGATAGCCTCATACGGAGCTCCATATAAGCCCAACACAGGGAACACAAGTCTGAAGCACGACGAACTCCTTAGACTTCCCGAATCCATTACACTTGGTGCGGGCGGTTTTCGTCGCGAAGCGACGGTGAATAAACATCAGGGCCCACATTGCAGACCAAGGGACGGTGCCGGCCATCTTACGAGCCTTCAGGTTGGACCTGAAGTGTTGGGATGTGTCCATCTGCTCAGTCAAATGGCTGGGAAATTATACCTTTTAGTCGGAAAAAACATCTCAAAAATATGGGAAAACTATGGAAAATCTATAAAAATCAATGAAGTCCTCTCTATTGAATGAACAGTCTTGATATTTGATCAGCTAAAGTTTTGCGACAAGCAAGCAGAAGCCAAGCGACTTGCTGCCTCAAGCAATGGTGCTTGCACTGTTACAACGCTCAACCAGTCTGATCCAGCTACAAAAAAACTTATACCAATCAACTCTCCATGCAACTGACTATCACAGCAAGGAACTTTCTGTCGGCAAGTGCCATCGCGAACAACACACCCCTTGCAGTTTGTGGCCATCTCACCTGTGTGAAACGCTTCCCAAGACAGCTACATCAATTCATCACCAGGTCAGATTTCTCCCAAGACAAGTCATGGTCACCTGAGATTCCGAACACTATGACCACTCTTTTTCCCACCACCTGTTCGGGGTCGAAGAACCTCGGTCCCGACAAAGGTCCACTGAAGTTTTGACCTACGGCCATCTCATAGGTCTCTAATATTGAAAGCTGTGGTACCTTGAAACGTTTTTGTCGAACTCAACTACTTCTTACCTCCATGTAGGGACACAGTGGTTTATTGTCTTTCCGGCCAGGAAGTTTATGGTTGGAATCCAAGCGCCCATTTCCGGATCGTCAAAATCCTCATTTTTTGTGCACGTTTCAATCCCGGTCCTCATGATTTGTCATCTCCCCTGGGACTTCGCCGCTCCCACTGGGCCCCACAGCTTTCCAATCCCTGAGCAAATCTGTCGAGGAGCCTTCGACTGAAGCTGGAGCAAAACCCCACCGGAAACTATCCAATTAACTGGTATCTCCATGTAAAATATGTATCCATTCATCCTTGTTCTGTGGGGTTCCAACATGCCCATTTTTTGCTGATCCCAAGTTCGACATTTTTCGTGGTAAAACTCATCCGGACGGCTCAACCCTTTCCGACCTCCTCTCCAATATCGATCTGCTCCACAAGCAATTTGTCCGACTCTGGGTGCTTCTCACAACTTGGAGTGGAAACGGTGCTGGGGATATATGTTTGCTTTGTGAATCATTTTCTTGTTACCCCCAAATATAGAGGGTCCTATAAGTGTTCCCATCGACTAATGACTAATTCTATGGGGGATATGAAAGGGGAATCTCACCAAAATGAGCGAGAGTTGAGCTCCAGTCAAGTTTCCCTGACAATGGGATGCAAAGACTTTGTCATTTCGTTCATTTCTTCTGCCAATCCTTGATTCTAATCGTGTCCAAACTCAAAGGAACCGCAAGTCCGCGTGATTCAAAGACATGTGAGGATGGACCAGGCGTGAAAATTGAAGCCCTAGCGACCTGCAGATTTGAGTCATTTCAAAGATATTCAAAGATAACAATAAACTATCATGTGTACATATATATATATATTATATATATTATATAATATATATACGCACGCAACTTTTTTTCGGAGCACTGGTTCTTGACCACGTCCGCACGCTGAGGCAACAGCCTCTTGATCTCTCCAACTCTAAAATCAATTTGCGAGATGTCACTTTGACCTTGGCAGTGCATCACCGGACATGTCTATCACAATTTCCCAGCCTTTGGATCATTTCCTGTTGATAAAGTTCCCCAGACTTGATCCAATGGGATGCGGGATTCGCATAGTGGCTCGCAGTGAGCCCCATCAAATGACTTAGCACAATATGGAGTTGTCTCAATATACTTAGATACCACAATGCCATTTGAGTCAGGAAACTCATGATGAACCCTAAGGTTGAAGGTATCCCCCCATTTTGAGGCATACCCAGGCAACCCTCAACCAACAGAGGTTTTGGGCTTTGCTCATCCGTATAACCGATGACATGCTCCATCTTTTTCAGCCCTTGACCTTTTCTTCTCACAGAGTAGCCACGACTTCTGAGCACCCTGGCAGGCAAACCCGCAACACAAAAGGCCGGCTCAAAAGTCCCCAACCAAGTGAAAAGTATAAGGGGAGATCCACAACACCAAACCATCCCCAATTCTTGTGGCTTATTCTGGGGGTATACCTTAGGGATGAATCGAAAATCGCCAGCCTTTTTATGGTTCATTGGGGGATCCCACCTGGCACCGGCCAGCACGGCCAGGCAACTTTTGAAGCCCGCAGTCAGGCCACTTTGCACCTGGGCACAGCATCAAAAATCCTCAACTATCCTGGAAAAAAACAAAAAAGACATAAATCAACAATTGGATTTCCGTATTTGGGAGCCCAAAAAAAGGTTGACCAATCATCGTCGCAACTGTCTTTTCCTTGGAAAAAGGTTGTGGCTGAATGATTCAAAATAAATTGGCCGAACAACTTCACTAGCAGTTTGGATTCCCTGGAAAAAGCTTACCAAAACTTCCAAGAAGGCACAATACCACATATCCGACATATCCCTAAAGGATCCCCACTTCCAGTTGGGACTTTCCAACCAAACCCATCGTCACATCTGTCGTCTTTTTCCCACTTTCGCTGATCTTCGGCATCAGCTGGACCTGGCTGAGACAGAAACTCCCACAGCGATTCCTCCTGATTCAACCCACATCCCGGCATAGAAGCCGGCGTTGGCGACCCTGCTACCAGCCACGCCTCCATGGCTCTTTGGCGAGCCATGCGAGAACTGCCTGAGCACCAAAGTTCAGCTGCATCTACAGAAGAATAGGGTGCGTCAGAAAGATTGGGATGATTCGTATAATAATTGGTGGTACATACACCCATACAACAAGTCATAGATACAGTACCAAAAAGCTGGGTTTGCTAAGTTTTTGACCTTTGCGATACAAGAATGTGGCAGATTCTTCACGCAGTCTCCGTATGATCTGTGCCTGTACTCTTGCATAGGTATGTATGTGTGTAATCGTGTATATGTATCATATACATACATGTATTACATGTATTTACCCCAGCTACCATTGTTCCTGTCTTCCGAGGCAGTCCCTGCATGCGCACAGTGATGCCACAGCGATGCCACACCGGCCACGCCTTGTTCACAGCCTCGGGATTCTCATCATGCGGCAGGTGTCCCGCTGAGATGATTTCAAAGTCAATGGAACTTCGCTCCTCCGTCAACCAGTTGCAGCAGTTGGCACCGGTAATAAACTGTTTGAACTGCCGGAAATAAAGTGACACCACACAAACGGAAGTTTTTGATGGTTTTGATTGAAAAACAATGAATGTTCACAGTGGAGTAGTTGAGTGGTGGTTGAGCCATCCCTTGAAAGATGGTATCTAGTCATTGGGGATCATCATCCCAGCGTACGGTCCTTGGCCTGTTCTGTGAGGAAACTGCCCACATCTCCTGTGGTCAAAAATAGGGCACTGGGCCAGGGTGGGTCGTTTTTCGGGTTGGAACTTCCATAGTTTTTTGGGGTGTTCAATCATTTTATATAACATAGTTTAGCATCCTTAAGCATATGTTTACATACTTTTGTTTAACATAGTTTAAGCCACCCCTTCTTTCGCACAAAATAAATCCATCCTACGAGCATCTCTTGGCATGTATCTTCTCAGCCCTTCCATGCACAAGTCATGAGATCGCCACTGCATCGTTTCTTCTCAAAAAGTCCAGACACCCAATGCCACAAAATCATCTTGAGTACAGCAACCCCAAAAAACGGTACCACACTGAAAATCCAACTGAAATAGTGATAGACTGTGTTTTCCTATGCTTTCCTCATCTATTTTGGGGTGGCCTTTTTGTATCAAATTGGAATAACTTCAACAGTCTCCAGCCTTTGATCGGAGTCAATGTATCCTGATCTCCCCAAATCACCTGAGATTTGGCATCTCAGATGTTGAGAAAAATCTCCACCCGGCGAAATGATCTTGGCATTGCAAAATCTCATCAAGTTTCATCCGGTGTCATCCGGTGTCATCCGGTGTCATCAACAGAATCGGAGCCCCGCCGTCACCAATGACCATGCCTTCATAGGCAGATCCGCCATACGGCCCCCAGCCAGAATCTCCATGGGCGTCCTTGGCAACTCTACCGGATCATTTGGTGCTGGAATTCCAAAATAACAATTTTAAAAAAACTCTGCAAAATCATTGAAACCCTAAGTTTCACAGCTTCCCAATGTTCACTCTGCCTGGAAAACTTCTCCAAAAGACGCTTCACACCTCCTGTTGCTGAGAAATCCAAGGTAGAATCATACATCCACTTTACATCCACCCCAAAAATCAAGACCAACAGAACAAAAACTGCATAAAATTGGCGTGTTAACTGTGGATCAAATTTTGCGATCAAATGTTGGATCACCTTTCCCCAGTCGAGTGTGTCTGAGAATGCAGTATACCCCCAATGGCCAATAGAAGATAATGATGATGATAAACCATTGGAATGGGTTGTTCCCCCATTTTTTCGAAGACAAATACACAAATCAATTGATCTCCCATAGTTCTCCCATAGAACCATCATTTCCCATGTACAATTTGGACCAACGCCCGCATTTTTTGAGCTCTGACTCGGTCCAGGATTTCCAGTGTAGATCTGCCGCAGCACATCCAACGCTCCAGGTGTTTGGGAGGGTTGGACCTTAGGACGGTGAAAAAACGTCGTAATGTGGTCGATGTTTCGGTCATATGCCCATGGTTTCTACAGAATATCTGGTTTGTTTGGGAATCACGGCCTATTTTTTTGGGGTTCAAGTCTGAAATTTCAGCGAAAGCTTGGTCAACTTCGGCAGTTGGTTGCAAAATAGACCCCCAGGTCTTTTTCATGTTTTTCATGGTCGAAAATGTTGAAACCCCAATTTTGGGTTTGTCTGAAGATCGGGTACCCCATTCCATCCACTAGTTCATCATCATTTTCGCTATCAAAATTGCCTTTTGGGAGGTATACCCCATTTTCAGACAGACCAATTTTAGAGAAAAACCCAGCTGGCGCACCTGCGGTGTCTTCATTGCCGAGTCTCAAAGCCTTCAGCCAGCTCATCATCCACTGCTGCAGGATTCGTGGGATACAGATTCTTCAGCAGTGCAGAGACCTGCAATGTTTGGGATGACAGTGGTTTCATTGACCCCTAGACAATAATATCTTATGTGTACATACATCTTTGTACAGAGAGAGATAGAGAGGTGTTGCATGGACAAAACTACATCTTAGAGAAAGAGAGAGAGAGAGAGATGGATGAAGATACATAGAGATAGATACATGTATATATAGTTATAGATGGAAATCGAACTGTAAATATAGATGTATATAAATATACATTATAGTACATATATGAGTAAAGATATGTATGTATGTATGTATGTATGTATGTATGTATGTATGTATGTATGTATCTATCTATCTATCTATCTATCTATCTATCTATGTATCTATGTATCTATGTATCTATGTATCTATCTATGTATCTATGTATCTATGTATCTATGTGTATGTGTATGTGTATGTGTATGTATATGTATGTGTATGTGTATGTGTATGTGTATGTGTATGTGTCTGTCCGTCTGTCTGTCCGTCTGTCTGTCTGTATGTATGTATGTATGTGGGTGTATGTACGTACGTACGTATGTGTGTCTGTCTGTCTGTATGTATGTATGTATGTGGGTGTATGTACGTACGTACGTATGTATGTATGTAACTGTATGTGCATGCATGCATGCATGCATGGATGGATGGATGGATGGATTATGTGTGTGTGTGAATGTATGTCTGTATGTATGCATGTATGCATGTATGCATGTATGCATGTATGCATGTATGCATGTATGCATGTATGCATGTATATGCATGCATGCATGGATGCATGGATGCATGTATGCATGTATGAAAATAAATATATATATATATGTATATATATATATAGATACATATGTATGTGTATATACATATGTACGTGTATGTATATATATATATATATGTATGTATACATAAATGTATATATATATGTATATGTATACATATATATATATACATATTATATGTGTGTGTACACATTGCCACACCTAGACTTATTTGTACACAGAACGTTCGTGTATATATAGATGGATTGACTGAATGCATGTGTCTCGATATGTATGTGTCATATGTGTGCATAATGGATATGTACATAAGATATATCTACATATCATGCGCATATATACACATATATCACTGGACTGTAAATAGATAGATGTAACACTTTAAAACTGTATATGTGTGCTTTATGTGCATGTGTGTGTGTGTGCATCTGCAGATTCACTCTGATTGCATGAACTCATGCGCACTTAGCAATGTTTGATTTCTGAAGGCATTAGGGATTTCCATTTCCACTCACCATGGCACGGTGGTTAAAAAAAATGGCTGCCTGGGTACCTGCACAGATTGAATTAATGGGTTAAGTAGCTCTTGAAACAATACCACAATAAAGAAGATCAGGGTGCCACAACGCTACTTGATCAGCGGAGCTGATCTAAAACCAGCTGGAAAGTGGTGCCTGTTCTTTGTTTGCGAAGGATTTGAAGGCTGCATCCAAGATCGGAGACCTGAAAATGAGGTCCTCAATTCGCAACTTCGCCGATCCGCAAAGCTGGTTGAACAAAAATCACTGGCACTTTGGCTTTTGGAAGCGATGCAGCTACAGATCCAGGTCCAGAAAAAAATCTGAAAATCGTGAAATACCAAGGTTGTTCCCCTGGCTATCGCCATCCAGAAAGGGGTCAAATATCCAAGGCTCCACGAGGCCCAAGGCCAGTTTGGCGAAAAACCTCTGCAGGTTGTTCATCTTGGGCGACTTCACCCTCAGCTCGGGACCAAAAATGTTGGGGGATTTTCACCACAGAAAATAATACTGAAGTTCACCAGATTAAGCACTCGAAAAAAATGTGTACGTTTAACCAGAAATTTGGGATCTGAACCAGAATAGTTATGGGTATGTGAGCCACGAAAAATGGAAACCTATCCAATCATGCTAGTGTGGAATCTCCATTGCTCACAGAATCTCAGAATCTTGGAGTATTTGTTACAAAAAAAGGATAAAAATGATTTCAGACGCCGTGAACAAGCCTATACCCCTGCCAAAACTTCATATTGAACATACTCCCTTTTCATCCCTTTTCAACAGTTCTGCTTGAGTTCTGTGGGGTGTCATTTGACCATCGGAGACACCATGGATCTGCCGGGGGTCATATTCTTGTTGTTCATCCCCACGGCACAATTCAGCATAACAATCCTGGCGAGAAAAATTCGGGCAGGGTTGCCAACTTGACCAAAGATGGCTGAAAAAACCCTCGCTTGTAGATGGTTGACGTACCAAAAACGATAAATTGCTATGATCTTATTGATGAAGGGTAACAATTAGCGAAATAGAAAACTTCCCAAGACGAATTTGCAATCCCACCAAATTTGTGGTCCCAGCAGGAGTGATGAAGTATCCTGCTTGCAACTCACCCAAAACTTCCATGGATCATCTCCAAACAACCCAGTTGTTCAAGTGCTGCTGAAAATCGTTCAGAACAACTTCAATAAAGTTCTGCTTCAAAATGGTCTTAGTACCAAGTGATGGATGAAAAACAGATAGGACAATTCGAAGCCTGGCCCTGATCTGGCCCAACCGGCCCAACCGTTGAAGCGCGCCACCCTTTGGGCCGCTGCTCGCTAGCAGCCAGAAGGGAGATCAGGCTGCCAAAGGAGTTCCCCACTAGTACCACCTCAGCGCCGTGTCCAGCCGAAAACATGGAGAAAAACCTGGTTTAAAGTGGACAAAGGTTAGGGAAAACCATTGGAAATTGATGGAAATCCTTCGGATACTGCTCAATTCATCTAAATTTGCAGCATCCAAAAACCTTTCTTCAGAGATCTAGTGGTAAATATCCTTACAAAAACAAACAACTCCACCAAGAAAGTGACCATCATGGCGACTTGGCCCGCATCGAAACTGCTGGAAGTTCTTACTTGGTCAGCATGTCATGACGAAATGCTGCCGGACTTTTGTTAATCTAAGTCATGCCTTAAACGATCCAAGGACCGCCGAGGACCGTTCAAAAACGATCTGCTGACGTCAGGACCGTTCAACTCAAGCCAACCTACCCGGCACAAAGAAAACGCCTTTGGCGTTCAACATGCCATGGCTCACTCGGAAGCGTCACATCCTGCCATGCGGATACCGTGCGGATACCATGGGGGGTGGGAGTAGAAAAACAATGAGACACCCATAGGGCAACTAAATTCTCACAAATCATCAGTTTTTTTCAATGAAAAATGGGAATGATGTCTGTTTCGCATCAAATGGAAATCCTGCTAATCTTCCCTCAAGTGCTCTAGCATCTTCTCGTCACAAGTGAGCAAGAATTCGGTCACTATCCGTCACCAATCTTCGAATACAACAACAAAAGCAAACAGCAACAATGCCTTTACCCTCCCGGTCCTAAGCGGCTCTGATTGGATCTCTCTCGATTTCTATTTGTTTCTGATCGCACAAGGCTTCTACAAGATCCGAAGGTGCTTGCATGTCTGTGGCCAAATCGCAGGCCGTTTTGCCACGGGCATTGCGAAGGTCCAAGCGAGCACCTGCACGTTGCGTGTGAAACACATGGCCCGGGGTCATCACTTAGGATTCTAAACAAGGACAAAACTGCTGATGACAACATGCAGATCAATAAAACTGGATGTTTCATCTGGGTTGTACTTGAAATTGGATGTGTCCAAAATGAGTGCAGCCCATTCTTCAACAAATTTCGCGAGCTGGCTTGCCGTGACTTCCCCAAGTGCCTGCTTTGACCAAGACGATCGCGGCTTCAAAGTGACCATTCATGACGCTAAACCTAGCCCCACAGAAAATGACTCAATCTAAGGAAACGGATCAACATGCATCAACCTTAAGGGCCTCCAACACCTTGGTTCCCAACAAAAATCGTAAACCATAAAAGCATAAAATCATATGACATCGTTGTATGAATGGTTCACTCACCATCTGCGCACCTAAAAATCGATCATATGCGCCCCTAAACTTCGAGGCAAGTTCCAATCATCTGCGCCCTTAAACTCTCACAGAAACATACTTCTCCGGGTATGACCCTGTAAGTGGGGTGGGGTGGGGGGTGTGATAATGTCCCGTGGCTCAGGCACAGGACTATATGATAGCGCTATGGGATCGATGTTGAAAATGATGACGATGACGACGACGACGACGACGACGACGATGATGATGATGATGAGAACGATGAGAGTGATGATGGTTTTGGGGTTACAAGGGAACAGATGTTGGAGCTACAAGCGAGCAGAATTTGGAGCGAGACACCGCCCAACTATCATGGCACCTTACAGGGAGAATAGAGGGATACGACCCTTTAGGTTTGGGGGGGAACTTTCATTTTGGCACCATATAGGAAGAATATCGCATAGGCTTCCCTCAAAAGGTGAAAGTTGAAGATGTGATAACGAAGCTTTCGTTCGAGACTTCCCTCAATAAGTGAAATTTGCCACTATCACTTGAGGCCAGGGGGGAGGTACGAAAGCTAGCAGGGCTGGGGTAGGGTGGTAATCGAAAAGGGTGATTAGCAAGGTGAAGTCGGAATGCGGCAACGGTCTCACCCGGTTTTTTGGAGTTGCTGGGGTTGCTGCAAATCTTTTGATGTTAATGAGGTTGCTGACCAGAACGATGAAGGAAACTGATGATGACGAAAATGATGGTAACAGGAATGACTTGATGACGACGATGATGAGGACGAAGAGGATGATGAGGATGATGAGGATGATGAGGATGATGGGGATTATGAGGATGATGAGGATGCTGAGGATGAGAATGAATATGAAAATGAGGATGATGATTATGATGAGCAGGGCTGTTGTAGGGTTGCAAAATCGATTGGGTCCAGCAAGCGAAAACCCCCCAATGCCGAAATCGTCTCTCGCCAAGCGTTGTAAGCAAAAAACACAATATCAAAAAAAATACGCCCCCCAAATGGAACCCCGAATCTGCATAAAGATGCTCAAGACTCAAGACAATGCAAAATATGTATGATGATGATAAGGATGATGATGAGGATGGTGATGATGTGGATGCTGCGAACGATGGGGATTATGATGATCATGATGATGAGGAGGAGGAGGAAGATAATGAGGATGAGGATGAGGATGAGGATGAGGTCGTCGTCATCATCAGCATCATCATCGTCATCATCATTATCAACAACACCCTCATCATCATCCTCATCCTCATCCTCATCCCCAGGAGCAGGAGGAGGAGGAAGATAATTATGATCATTTGGAAGCTGGCAAGTTTCCGATGATGATTTTATAGAGTTGTTGGTTGGTTTACTGAACATGACGTCCTGAAGATGAAATACTGAAGAGGACGACCCTATACCGCAGGAAACAAATGGCCCAGGGGGACCAGGGGATGAGGATGCTGATCAACGATGAGGAGGACGAAGAGGAGGATGATGATGATGATGATGATGATGATGGATAAGGATGAGGATGAGGATGAGGATGAGGATGAGGATGAGGATGAGGATGAGGAGGGTGAGGATGAAGATGAAAATGGGGATGATGACCCTCTACCAGCCGGAAATCTCCTCTCAGGGGGGGGGCTGGGTTTCCAACGTTCCTGGTGCCTGCCTATTCCTTGCTAAAGCAAGAGCAACTTCAGCTAGCACAGCTAGCTTTCGTGACAACGAAGGTTTAGGGGCACATACGATAACCTGTGCAGCGCTTGGTTTGTGCGACCTGCGTGACACTTTGAGCATCTGCGCCCGTGTTCGAAGACCATCTTTCGAGCACAGACAATAAGGGAAGCGCATGAGTGAGAACCATCCAATGGCTTAGCGCCTTAGCCCAAACCCATCTGATGGCTATGTTGATCTCCCTTCCCCTCCACCAAAGAGCATCAAAGGAGTCGCACCGAAGTGATGATGCGCCAACAAAGTCAACCTCGAGGGGCTCCAGTAATGTTTAAGACTATACATCCTCAACACCAGCAACATGGCTGGGTTGGTGAAATCCGTGTAGTAGCGCTCGTCGATATCCTGATCGGCTTGATGGTCACCATTTTAGCCCAAATCATCGATGATGTGGTAAACCCCGACATAAACGCCAGCTTTTTTAGATGTTTGGGCTGTCGCTAACATAAAACAGATCGTGAAATTCTGTATGGCTTATCCTTGATTATTGGCCTTCCCGCGATAGCTGCTTACTGGCTGGGCTCCTTTCCCATGAAATATGAAATACATTGAAATAGAACATGGGATTCGACAGAAAAAACTCGTGACGAATATGTCTCCAAGCTGCGGCTCCCGCATCGATCAGTGTGTTGACCATGGCCTTGGACCCTCCATGAAACATGAGGCACCAGAAGAAGCTATGCCTCGGGCCCCCAAGTCCCCCAATGGTCCAACGAAAGGATATGGATATGGATGGATAGGCAAAATCTAGATTGCGTTTTATGTAGAGATTGAAATATCATGAAATATCACTCTACATATTCAACTCAGAATATTGCTAGTGTTTGAGTGAAAAATTGGGATCTCATCAAACTCCATCTGGAAGCATCCCATTGGACACCCATCCGTTGCATCCAACAAACAGTTTTCTTGCTGCCGGGTCAACCACAGAAAATCCTCAAAAAAATGTATGGCTTGCCAAAAATTGATACAACAACATGCCCATTCCCCATCCCCATCACAAAGTCGAATAGTGCTACTAGAAAAACAAACACGTAAAACATCCACATCGAAAGTCCAATGGACTAAACATGACCCTACCCCTCCAACCACCCCCATCTCATCTTCTCCCACCCCAGCCTTAACTCCAGGCCCTTCACTCGGTACAGCAGCTCTTTTGCTGCGCGAATGGAACCTGTGCTGCAGGCTGTAGCCCATGGACTGGCACCAGGCCCTGCCAACATGAAGGGATCATGTCCAGCTTCTAGCAGAATCCTGGGCATGGCAGGATGGCAGGGCTGATGGCAGGCTGGGAAGATGCTGCTGATGGTGAAAATGTTAGCCTCTTCAAATATTCCTATGAGAATATTGGTTGCCCCATGATGTGTTATCAAGCTTATCATTATTTCCCCAAGAAAATCGCCGCAAGTTGTGTGTCCCAATTCTGAAACAAAACCATAACATGTTGTTGCCTTACAACCCAAGTGATATACACAATTTAGCAGGGTCCCCGCGGAGATTGCCAATAATTGCCTACATCCAGAGACACCCCCAACAGCCTCAACACACCGCTGTGCCGGTCCTGACGCCCTCAGCGTTGTCACTGACACACGCCCAGTGTAGGGCCCCGTCCCCTCGCGCGTCGCGGCCATTCACCTCGGCCCTGGCTTCGAGCAGAATGGAGAGCGCCTCATTGTTGCGGAAGCACGTGGCTAGGCACAGCACCGTCATCTGGTTGGGCATATGAGCCTCGACAGAAGGATGAGAAAGGGAAATCCAGGGGCAATGCGGCAATAAGGTCAGGGAGCGATGAGGCAAAGATGATCACAACTCAAAACGCTTTGAGATGTGCTGGGATTTGGGGCACTGGTGATGAGGGGTAAAGAATAGGCCGAGATGGATCAAAGTTATATACAGACCCATCATGACTCATGACCAGTCTGGCTCAGATTGACTAGGGGTCACGTTGGTAAACCATACAATTTGCTGGTCACACGAAAGAACGCCGGGGAATTGACATGACGATAGGTTGAAGTGTCATGTTTTGTTGAGCTGCTACTGGCCCACAACTTTGGACTCCAACCATCTCCAACTGTCTAAGTCTTAGCTGCTTGGAAGTTTCAAGTTTTCCACGAAAAATGGAGAATTTCATCGCCATCCCAAGCTACTTTCCACCATGTTTCCTCAACTCTCGGCCGCGTGGCCAGGATTTTGGATTTCTTCGTGGCATCGTTCGGAGAGGCTTTCTTCTCCAACAAAGCCGAGACAAGAACAGGGTCCCCATTCATGGCCGCAAAGCACAGGGGAGACCAGCCACCCTTGTCGTACCTACGGTGTGCACCCGCTGCGAACCCTGGGTTTTCATGGGCAAATCCCATGGAAGAAAAGAAAACTCGGAACATCTGGCTTTGGCGCAACTTCCAAAATTCCCAAACGATCATCGACTTCATTCAAATTCCTCTCTGAGTCAGCAAGGGGATCCTGGTGGTCTCTAATTGCCACGGATTGAACAAATGTGGGCCCTCCAAGACAGCCCTGATCTCAATCAAATGCCAACGCCACAGGTTTCCAATGTCTCCCAAGTTGCTCTGTGATGCTCAAGAAACCATTTTGATGCATAAATGTCGCTAAAGCGAAGCCCTTGGGATCCACCGCCGGATCGATCTCTGTCCGAAAATCGGGGACCAAGTTATTCAACGGCTCTGCCGGAAGGCTGTCCAGGCGGATGGGTTGTTGGTTCAAGAAGAAACGATAGTTGTGGAGATCTCCTTGCCTTAAAAATGAGCGCTGAAAAAAACGGCGAGGCCAGTAAGTGGGCTGTCACTTGGCACATCTGTCCCGAGAACTTGGGAATAAAACGAGAACATCTTTCATCGAACAAGACAGAAAGAGAGAGAGAGAGACAGTTCATTATTGCTGTAAAGCATCTATATGTGTATTATATATATATGTGTGTGTATTCTGATCCTAATGATGCCCTAATGAATTTTCAGATTTATCTCAAGTACCACCCATAGACCCATCTCACAACAGTTTTGCTCAATGTGACCAGGACAAGACGAGATGCTCCAAATAACCCATCAGTTTCTTCAGGACCATCTTTTGGGTGACGACCGCGATCTTCTCTCGGTCGCTCTCCACTGTAAAATGCCCCTTGCCCGGAGAGTACAGGACACTCTCATATTGAGGTAGGAGCGTCTGCCTGAAACGTGACATAAGTGGAAAAGGAATGACCAAATCAGGATGAGTTTGGTGCCATGTATGGAGCCGGTCATTCTGTGCCATGAATCTGAACACAGCCTTTCATATCGAATCATAATAGCTCAAGATTAGGGCACCAATGGACCCACAGTACTGACTATTTGTGCCCTTAACATGTATTAACAATCCGCTTTGCCCATACCCATATGAGCAGTTGACAATATGATTGTTACTTGACGGGCGGTGATGACTCTGGTAATATGTCCAAAAAGGCCACTGTAACTGCAAGCCGTAGTAGGCACTGCTGCCAATATCTCGTAGTGGCACGGGCCAAAAATTTCGAATCTAAAGCAACAATGCCCTATATTTTGTATCATGTTTCTCATCATTGACTACAAACAATCCAATTCTTGTTTGACATAGTCACCACAAGACACTCGAAATACTCCGCCGGGCAGCTGGGTGGAATTTTGCACCAAAATCACCAGCCCCTCAGAGGAGAGCTCTCTGGCCATCCGCTCAGCCCGGCACCACCCTCTCTCGGACCAACTATATCGGCTAAGCATCTCAGCCTGCTCGACATGATTCAACCTTAGCGTTCTTAGCAGCTACTGATCCAGTTGGATACTTGGTTGGTTGTGATATGTTTTTCTGAAAGAGATTCAATGCCCCAGGCTTTTGGGGGAAACCAACGTTTTTTTTAATAAATAGTGTGTGCTCACTGGGTTCTTATGGAAAAGGTTAAGGCCAGTGCTTGATCGGGGGTGTTCCAACTGGTTTCCAGCGTTTTTCCTGTAAATTTTCGCGTGCAATGGCTCTTGTGCCATGTCCATGTGCATTTCGACTGCGCAGGCTCGCACAAACTCTGCGCCGCGGGGTTCTCAAGCTCTGGGTCTGGAGCATTTTCATTGCAAATTCTCGCATAAACGGGCTCTTGTGCAGATCCTGCTAAATTCCGCTCCAAGGGGTCTTTGCCTGATCCTGTACAGGTCCTTAACAGAAGATCTTGTGGGGATACTGGTGAGATGCCGTGTCTTGCAGGTGCTCGCACGAAAGCTCTTGTGGGAGGCTCTTGAGAGATTCTTGTATCAAGCTCTTGTAAGATCCGCTCCAGCAGCAGCAGGTCCTTTTATGATCTTTTATGAGGATCTTGTGAGATTCTCTTCGGGCTCTGGCATGAAGATCTCGCCCAAGGTCTTTTACAATTTCTTGTGCGAAGATCTCTGGGTATCATACCGAAATGCTGTCAGAGTCCTTTGCATGATCTTGTACAGGTCCTTGTGGGAAGCTTTTGAACAGGTCCTGGTGAAATCCTTTCGGTGTCCTTACATGATCTGGTAGAGGTCCTTGTGAGAAACTCTTGTGGATACCCTGCTGAAATCCTCCTCAAGAGGTCCTTGCATTAAGATCTTGAAGATCCTCTGCATTGGTGCTTGGTGCTCATAGGAAGTTCTTGTATGAAGATCATGTGAGCTCCTCTCTATAGATCTCTATATATATATAGAAGGACTGTTCCATAGCTACTCTTGCTGGTATCTGGTACGCTGACTTCCTAACCCCCACACTGTTTGGGGTCTGTTGCCGGTGTAATTGTGAACTTGAGGGAGTTTCCATTGACACACCCACATGATCCATGATCATCTGCATCTTTTTTTCGAGGAACGGAGGGGTGAGTACCATGAAGTGCTCGCATTTTGCGATGTACTCTGGGATGGACTGGATGGCATCTTCTCTGAGCTTCTTTGACTCTGGGTGTTGTGGACAGCTGAAGTAGTCATACCTGGCAGAATGACACCAGAGTTGTCGATGCTTCAGAACTGCGGCATTTGCAGCAATCTGTACGCATGTTTGGGAGGCAAAAGCCGTGAGAACGTGCGGCCAAACAAAGTGTGGCAAAAATCTCTTGGTTGGCTAGAAAGAAAACAGTAAAGCATTCCAATCCAAAACCAGTAATTTCCCGGTTAATTTGTGGAAAGAAGTCTATTAGTGACGCTGAATTTCAGAAGGTGACACTGCTACCCGAAAAGGTGATGTGGTGACCATTTCGACGGTAGTGAAAACTAGGGGTTCATCTGCAACTTATTCCTCAATCCAGTATATATACTTGGGAGCAAAAAACCTTCTTCCCTTAGACCAACCCGATCTACAATTTCATATGGTTTGGATGCTTCTCAAAATTGGTGTGCCCCGAAACCATTCTTGTTTCCCGCTTCAAAGTAAAGAATTTTGCATGATTCGGGGACATGATAGGATAGGGAAACCCCCCAGTCATTTCTGCATCTGGATACCAAACGAAGAGAGGCGTGCTCCTCATCTTCGCTGCGGAATTGATCGCGGGACGGCCAAAGAAGATCTCTGTGCTGACATCAATGGATATCTTGCTCGCCCCAGACAAAATGTTCCTGCAAGCAGGCCCAAACACACCCCTCAGGAAGAAAGTATTTATACTTAGTAATCTGGTCAACCCAATTTCACAGACTTCCAATTCAAAATGATTTTGTTTATACCAGGGATGGTTCATTCTTCCTGGAATCTCTCGGAATCTAGCTTTGAGTTGCAAACTGCAAGTCTCCTTTGAATTGGGATATGGAGTGAAACTCAACATTGCCAACAAAGCCCAGAAATTTGACCATCTTCAGTACCTGACTGTCCAATTTTGGAGGTCAACTTCGGAGCCGTCATAGCTGCAGAAAACTGGCCCCCTTCTTTAACGGAGGCAGTTTTGGAAAGGGGCGGCAGCACTCCAACGAGCTTATGGTTCAATACCACTTCAGTGAACACCCAAATTTCCCGCTGGCCCTGCCCTCTCGCCTCAGTGCATCTTGCAGCACTCTGAACTGAAGTCCCTTTGGATCTGGATGTTTGGCCGACAGCCACTGATGCGACACAAAAATGGCTTGCCCCATGGCCTCAACGAACATGGTCAACAGGCCTCACAAACGAAGCGCCAGGCGTGAATCGAACGACTCTGGCCATCCAAAAAACATGGGATGATTTCACTGAGGTTGAAAACCCATGAACCCTGAGTTGTTTATAATATATATATATATATGTTATAAGTTTATAAGGTAATATTTTCATTGGGGCATTCTTGGGTTTGCCACATTCTGCTGGCCAACTGCCAATGTTGACCCATGGCCGACGTTGCCGCCTTCGGCCAGCAACTCTTCGTGAGGCCGCACATCTGAGAAACGAAGCATGAGGTCCTGAGAAATCCCGGGCGGGAAGTCATCTGAAGTTGGAATAATGTTTATGTAATGTTTATGTAATGTTTATGTAATGTTTATGTAATGTTTATGAATCGGGGAGAACCAATCTTAATAGTCATTTACAGCATTTACACTATGGGTAACGCCCCGATTCGTCTCTGACTCGGATCCAACCGGATCATTTCATTGCACACCATGCGAGGACAAGCGTCAACGGCAACCACATGCATTGGGAAAAGCAAGCCACCAGCGCCAGCGCCACCAGCCATACTGCGTTTGTTTGTCCGGGCCACTGATGCAGCATAGTCTGCCAGCTTCGTGCTGCGAGAGGGACTGCAAACTGAGCCAACCCATGACATGGCTCTCGGCCCGGCCGCAACCAATGCGGTCAAGGGCTGAGCCGAAACTGATCAGAAAATCATGTGGGATTCGGAAAACTCCCGTGTTTTACATGTTGTTTGGTTCAATCGCCAGAGCTGCACGATGTGACTTTGCCGCAGTGACCGCCTGCAACATGCAAAGATCTTCCCAAAAAAAAAAACAGGGCCCGTTCAACCAATCCTGCTTCACGCGGCCAAGCGACATTTTCTGTGCCCAACTTCGTCAAGAAATCCTTCACCTAGCCAAAGGTCACACAGAGTGGGTTTCAGGGGTTCACCTGTTCAGGCAGCCATGGTTCACCTATCCCCAAGATCCCGCAGCACCTGTTCAGCCCAGAGTTCGATGCTGTACTCCATCGGGGGTTTTTCGGAGAGTCCTAACCTTAGGAAGTGGTGTGGTCACCTCGAAATCTTCGGAGACAAAAGACACGACAAAGCTGGTTCTTGTCAAAGCCAACGCAAGACAAAGTACGAAGGTAATTAGGGTCACAACAAAAGTATCAGATATTAGTATCCCCATCAAACGATCGGTCTAGTCTCAGATGTGATTGAAATGCAGGATACTCATCACGAGGGAAAATTTATTTGGACTGGTTCTTTGATGGACAGAGCAGTTCCTCCCCCAATTTTCATGACCAATGATGGGAAATCATGGGATTCCCACTTGTTCATGGTATCCCAAATCCTCTATTAATCCATGGTAAACTTGTAAATGAATTAACAGAGACAGGCTATATAAAGCCCCCAATTTCCAAAACAATGATCGAAAATGATAAGTGTACAAACCCAGCACCAACATACCCAATATTGATCAATATTGCCTATCTTAAGGACGTGCAACGTTTCTACATGTTTATGGGAGTTGCCATGGACGTGTCTCCAAATTGTGAACCTCCATCCTACCATGGTTTATCCTCATTTCCACATTCTGAAAAGCCAAAAAAATGTCATTTTGGGTTATCTACCAAATTTTTGAACCAGCCCATCAGGGGGTCCAGTCTAACACTGAATCAATACCGCCTGGATCACCTTTCCTGGCTGAGATGTTGTTTTTACCTTGCCCCTTGCCAAAAAAAACAACTACACCAAAAATACACTGACGATGGGACACTACAAGCACAACCACAACAACAACAACAACAACAGCAGCAACAACAACAACAACAACCACAACCACAACCACAACAACAACAACAACAACAACAACAACAACCACAACCACAACAACAACAACCACAACGACAACGACAACGACAACGACAACGACAACAACAACAACAACAACAACAACAACAGCAGCAGCAGCAACAACAACAACAACAACCACAGCAGCAGCAGCAACAACAACAACAACACCAACAGCAGCAGCAGCAACAACAGCAACAGCAGCAACAACAACAACAACAGCAGCAGCAGCAACAACAACAACAACAACAACAACAACAACAACAACAACAACAACAACAACAACACCAACACCAACAGCACCAACAGCAGCAGCAGCAGCAACAACAGCAACAGCAGCAACAACAACAACAGCAGCAGCAGCAACAACAAAAAACAAAAATTAAAATAAATAAAAATAAAAATAAAAAAGGTTCTTAAAACAAACCAACACAACGAAAAGAAAAGTCAACAAAAAGAAAAGTCCCGATGCTGTGCCATGGCACCCCAAGAGGTCGAAGGCATGGACCGTGTATCCCTCTTCCGACAGCACTGGAAAGAGGCGGCGCCAATATTCGATGGAGCCGCCAAATCCTGGCCGAGAGGACTTCAACAGCCATAGAAAGCGGATGACATGGATGCTTTAAAGCTGAAGATGGTCATTTGAATGGCAAAAGATACAAATTTCAGGCTAAATGATTGAAATAGGTTTTCATACATGAAATTTGAGATGTCACAAGCTAAAAATGTGGAATGGGTTCAACAGCTGAGTGAAGATCTTGTGCAGCAACAATGATGATTCCAGCAACCAGAATGGTGAACCCAGGTTCCTGTGAATTTCCAATGAATTCTGTGGATTTATACGGACTTGAGACGGGACACATTAAAAATAATTAGATAGGATGAGACTTTATGTTTTTTCTTCCAGGCCGTGGAACTTCAGAAATGAACCATTGGCACATGGCATCATCATTCATAAGCTTGGTTGGATACAGCCTGCATGTTTCAATCGTCACTTTGCCAAAAGAAAGAACCTCCAAGGAGCTGTCAGAACATCTCGGATGTGGCGGTGTGCTCAGAAACGGAGGACCCTGCTGCAGGTAAAACAACAAAGACCAGAATGATTGACTATGCTGAGACGTTCAGCTCACTGCTTTGCGGGTGTTTCGTTTCAACCCACACCCATGCTTGATCAAATCCTGAATGTGCTTGATTCAGTCGCATCAATGGTACTCTTCAGTTTGCTATTCCCTTTGGGATCCTATGGGTAAACGATATTATATAGCTGCTTCCATCATGTTCCACAACTGTCGGGGCCAAGGCTTCACAACACACGTGCGAATTGGTCAAGTTCCATGGGATTTATGGGGTATGGTCATTGAAGCATCATCACTGGCATTCAACTTGTAATGGGTATATTAATCCCTATTGATGGGGGGATGAACATGTCGTCCCACAACATGGATGTATATATGTATATATACATAATGCACATATGTATATATATATATACATATATATATATATGTATTTATATATATATATCATAAAATTCCATCCCCCAATATTAAATACCCCCCCAGAACCTCCGGTTCAGTATTGTACCTCTGATATAGTATTGTAATATCTCATAGTAGTGGGAAATTGTTTTAATCAACTCTTGACCATGGCACAACCTGGATTTCCTCCCAGCGGTCCATGCACCAATACGATCTGGATCTGCTTGCTGCCATCACCTGCTGCTGTGATGCACCTGATCTGGTGGCCGCGCCACTCCTCAGCCGGCGCTGGGAACTGTAGCTCTCCCCATGTCATTCTGCCCAAAAAGACGGGAAGGTACAGTACATACAGTACAACATCGTAGAACTCAGTAAACAGTCATCAAACCAGTTGGGAATAACATGCTCTATCTTTTTGAGACCTCCCATTTCCATCAAATTGCAAAGGATGCAGAACCAGGTGGATGTGAACATATTCGCTCCGTCAGGCTCAGTTCCAACAAGGGAAATCAAAGTCCGCCCGAAACTGCAAGGCTTAAGCGGCTTAAGTAGGTTGAAGGCGAGGATCAAGAGGGAAGGTACCCCGGTACCCCCAATTCCAAGAGGTTCTCATCATTTCCCCGTTTATCCCGTTTTTTCTGTGGATTAAATTGACAGAGATTGACACTTTGGGGGGGTGCAGCATCCCCTATGGAGCAACCGACATAGTTCTGCCCGGCACCTCAAACTTCATGGTCGGTTCCACACTGTGAGCTGCAGAACGCAATCGCCGCTTGCCACACCTGGCCGACTTTTGGGGCCCCAATCATTGGAGAGGCCCCGAACACTACAGAAGGGACCATTTGAAGATGCCTTGTTCTCCAATGTTTGGGCTGTTTGCGGGTACAGGTTGAGGGTTCCAACCTCCAAATCACCCGGTCTGGTGCTGAAATATTCCTACTGGCTTTTTGATTTTGGCCCTTCATTAAATTGGGTTGTCCAAAAATGGGGTACCCTCGATCATCTTATTCCTCATCAAATTGCCGAAATGGGTGGTATACCCAATTTCAGACACACCCAATTCATCTCTTCCTTGATCAAATCTTGCCATTGTGTCGGGACGCATTTCTAGTCACTCTGTGCCTTTTGTTCCTGCTTTTCCTGGTCACCTTTTTCCAGGTACTGCTCAATCAAAACTCCATTCTTGTTAATTCGTGTTGGTCACATTGATCACATCCCATGCTCTCCTCAAATCCCCATGTTGGGTTCAGGTCCTCACTGATGTCCCGATTCTCTTTTTTGACATCCCCAGTGTTTCAGCCCAGTTTTTCCTGGCGATGCCTCAAGTTTTTGTTGATCATCTGGAGGTTTCGGAAAATGGGAGTACCCCCAATTCATCCATTTTTTGGGGGGTTCCATTTTAGGAAACCCTCATCTCAGTTTTATTCAGCGGCCTGCGGCTTGCGTTTTGGCATCCAAGACCTGCCAGTTTATTCCGCTGGAAACTGTCACCGATTTGGAATTACAATGTGTACAGTGTACATATGTGTATATATATATATATATCAAATATATATGTATATATTATATATATATTATATATATATATTATATATATATATTATATATATATATATATTATATATATATACTTTTGGCAAGACCATCCAAGTTCAGATTCAGCCCCAGCCTACAAGTCCAGCCAGGACAGACCTCCGGCGACGCTTGCGATGGCTTGCGATGGCTCGCGGTGCTCATGTTGGATTGGTTCTACTGGGTTCATAGGGATTCCATGGGATTGCGATAGTGGCTTATCATATTCCCCATTAAACCAGCTAAGTAGAGCTCCATCTCACATTAATCAACAGAAATACTGGAAACTGCACAAATACAGTCAGGTACCACGTCGTCCCTTCACTCTATGGCCAGCCAAAAGAAGAAGAAGAAGGGCTCATTCGGCGGCTTCCAATGCTTACATTTGCGCCTGATTTGGGAAGCGTCCCTAGGTTTTGGAAGCATCCTATTTGTTAACTTATCTCATTTCAACTCCCCGTCTTTCTCAGGCAATACCCCCCAAATGAAACCCTCGCAGAAAGTATTGGATCTCTTCATGTCGCGGGAAGGGATTGATAAGCATCATGGAATAATGGCCAAGAACAAACTATAGCTTGAACTAGTATTGAATTGATATTGATATTGTCACAAGCATCATCTTCAGAAAATGTCCGGGTGAGTTCTGTTAGAACCCTGATCACCCTGCGGTCCACTGCCTTTTCAGCCCCCTAGATGCACTGTTGACACTGGTGCACTCTTGCACCGGTGCCAAGTGCCTTGCCACTGGTTCCTTGACCCAGGACGCAAAGCAGGGAAAGCAAAGAGCCAAGACTTGATTCACCAGAAATGTGATGGGAAGACCGGGAAGAGTATGACATTTCCAGCCCCAAAAGAAAACAAAAAAAAGGCCCCGTTTGGATCCACCAACCACCAATGTTTGGATGGTTTTTTCTTACGTGCCTGAACTCTCCCAGCGCAAGGACTTCGCTGCACGTGGCCAAAGTTCGGAAACATCAGCATGATGTTTAGCTACAAGTTGAGACAAGAAATGTGTTTAAAGTTTAAAGAGTTTGATTCAACACATTTGGTCCATCGTTGCAACAAAAACTCAGCGGGTGGTTCTGCTTTGTGGAAGTGTCCGTAGAGATTAAAATGGTTAAACATATAGATCACTTTAGATCACAATCAACATAGAAGGATTCAATTTCGTGCCTGTTTGGGGGGCACCCATCAATCTGTCAAATTAAGCCCATTTCACTGTTCAAAAATCCGGGATTTCAATCACCTTGAGTTCCACTTGAGGCAGCCATGATGGTTACATGAAGGGCCGTTGAGTTGAGAGCCAGATGGCTATCAAAATCCTGGAAGCTGCACAAAATATGTGCTTCTTGTAGATCTTTATCCCCCCTTTTGGTCTGGAAATTCGCAAACTTTGACTCATTCCCTGCTGGAAATCCCTGCCACCAAACAGACCCGAAGAAAAAATCCTTCAAAACCTGACAGCCACATCAAATGGCGATCAAATGACCAATTTTTGTGGGTCCATTGATTTTTGATTTTTGACCCTTGGCCAAACATGTTGTTTAAGACACGTTTTCACGTAGACCTTGGAGTTGTCATGGATCTGTCAAGGAAATACAACACATTCGAGTTACCCAAAAAACAAGTGTATTGCAAGCACAGTGCTTCCACCAATGAGACAACGAGAAATCAGCAGATTGGTCCTACTTGTGCTTTTCACACGGTTCATCGTCAATGGATTTATTCAACCCTATCAAACCTTGTGTTGTATCAACTGCCATTGCCCCCATGTTAAACCATGGTTACGGCCTCCCCCCAAATGTATCCAGGGGCACCCCCGCCCCATGGAGACGAACATGCGACGCCGTGCTGAACAGTTTGAGATTGGGATTTGCCTAGGAGACATCGGGATGGCTCGAAATTCAGGTACCCTGGGGTAATCAATGTGCTGGAAATTTCCCCATTTGTACATTCAATATACAGTGATATACATATTAAATTTATATATATATACATTTTATTTATATTTATATTCATATAATCATGTATACATATATTTAACGTTTGCCCTTCAAAAATTGTGAGTTTCATCCGTTCGCCATGTTGTTTACAGGAAGTATCAAACCAAAAAATCGAGAACTGACTAATCAACAGCTGGGGTTCTCGGGGCCACACCAATGCCTTGGGCGTCACCGCGCTGATGAGGGTGGGTCCTGTAACATTTTGCATGTGTGTGGGCTAACATCGATAGAGGATTGTGCCCCTTCGAAAAAAACATGACCATAAAACCCTTTAAAAAAAAACATTGTTTGATTGTTTCATTGTTCCAATTTCATTGCTTAATGGTTTCATTGTTTTATTATTGTTCATCATCACGGTTTGTTGATTTGAGATGATCATTCTATCTGTTTGTATTACGAAATAAAAACACCATCCCCCATTTTGAGACATTCACTACCGCATTTTTGGTTTCAAATCCTCTTCGAAGATGCAGATCATTCACCACAGCCAAAGGCCGTGACACCTGCAGACGCGTTGAATGACATGGGATGGGGATCAAAATTTCGAACCCAAAAACGGACAATTCAAATTCCAAACCATCAACTGACGTTGCTCGGTTGGGAAACAAACATGTTACATTTGGACAAAAAATAACGAAATAATTTCCAAAATATTTCACATGCAACAAAACCAATGTGTTTCAACAGTTTCAAGTTCAGGCTTACGCATTGCGATCCGTGCGCACAATGCTGCACCAAAATTACCCCGCATCGAAATTTTCTGTACCATGCCCCGTTGAAAACAACGTTTTTTCACGTGTCCACGATATGAATCCAGCGGGATGAGGTGGCTGGGATTGCGACCTGGCCTGGTTCATGGTCGTATCCAGCACTGGCAATCTCAATTTTGAGCAAAGCTGAGCAATGGCATGGTTTTTTGCCATGACATCGATTGCATTATTCAAAAAAAATGTCAACACAATAAATGTGCAATTCCCCAAACAATCTATGTTATAATACATTTGCATTCAAACCAACAGATGTTTCCTCATGGACGTCTTAAACAATGAAATGGTGCAAGTGATTGGCAACTGTTTTGATAGCTACAGTGTTTGTTTTGATTTCACAACAAATGTTCGCCATAATCAGAACAAAAACTATGATTTGCATGTTCATTTTTTTATCGACATTATCAATTTGATCTTGATGGTCACACATCGCCAGTTTCATGAGATTCAAAATCCTAATGTTAGGATCATCCCGATGGTTCACATGGTCATCATCGCACTCTTAGTTTTGCAAACCAACACCAGATTCCAGGGTTTTGGTTCTAGGCTCGGCAAACAAACGATGCACCGTTCCCACACCCAAGGATTGAACCCACCTGTCACTGTTGGTGGGAATTTGCCATAACATGAAGTACAGAAACATTTTCATTAATATCATGATCGTCATCATTTTTATCACATTCATCCTCCCGGTCCTGCTCAACATCATCTGAATCCTTTGCGTCGGTGTCAAATCCCTATCGCCATCATCATGTTCAACAAATGAGCCGCCGTCACAAAACTAGATGTCCTCGCATTGCTCGAAAGCAAAGAGTATCGCTATTTGGGTGGTCGCTACCGTCAACCATGGTTTTGTACGTCTGCGAATGATGGACGAACAAGTCTGTGCAAGAAAAGGCAAGGAAGAGAAAGGAACAGGAGAGGAAGAGGGAACGAAAGTAAAGGAAAAGGACAGGAACAAAAAAGGAAAAGGA